GGGGGGTCACATGAATCAGCAGAGACCCTCAGGGTGCAGCCAGGCCCTCCAGAGGTCACATCTAGCCCAACCCCACCGCTGGAGGTAGGATGAGGCCCATCCAAGCCAGGCCGGGGGTATTCTTTGCCTATCCTGTCCCCAAAATGATGTGCTCGAGCTTAAGGGTTGATCCTTAGGTGGAACAGTCAGTGGCTGGACTGAATGCAGCCCCCACAAGAGCCTCCTGGTCCTGGAGGAATAAGAGCTGAGCACCAGTTATTTCCTCCCAGCAAAGCCCTGGGGAGTAATACTTGCCTCCCCCGCCACTCCCCCCCAATCACCACCCTTGGCAGAAGGGGATCTGGAGTTGTATCGAATCATGAGGCTCCAAGACGAATCCAGGGCCAAGGTTTAGCTCCCTAGAAGGTGTCCTGCCAGCACAGTCCATCCTCCCGGCATTCCATAACGCATCCTCCCACCCCACATGGTTCCTCTATGATTCAGTGGCAACTCTATTGCTCCAGGGTCACAGGTTGCATCAGGGCAGCCAGGTTGGAGGAGGGTAGGTAAAGCATGCCCCCCCTTCTTCAAGGCCAAGTTCAGACCCCAATTTCCCTCCAGTTCCTGCCCTTTGTGGGGCAGCTTCACCAGGCCCCGAACCCCCCAGGCTCTGATTTGCCAGGCTGTAGGTAGCTCATCCCCCACCCCGTGACTCCTAGAGCCTTTTCCCCAGCATAAGCCCAAACTTTTGTCCCACCCCCCGACACAGAAACCTGGAGGGGTACAAATATGGGGGGGGGCCAAACACACAAGCTGATGGCTCCCACTGCTCCACACATGAGCAAACTCCAGCCCCTGGTTTCAGAGCACCTGTGGGAACGAAACCTGAGCATGGCAATGAGCTTGCCTTACAGATGGCTCAGATCAAAGGCTGGGTGTAGCCAGGGGGCAGGGCGGGGGCTCTACTTTGACCTCTCAGATTTAGGAGCCCCCCCCCACCTGCAGAGTTGGGAGAGGAACAGGCGCAAGGAAAGCCAATGCCCGGCAGGGTATTTTTATCCCCGCTGGCCCCTTGCTGACTCAGGGAGCTCTGGTGAGAGCTCAACTTCGGGGAATGCCTTAACGGGAGAATGAACAAACGAAGTGGGGTGTGTATGGGGGGGGTGCCAATGGAGGGACAGGATGAAGAAGCAACACCCCCTTCCCCAAATCCCTGCCCCTCCCTCAGTCCAATAGGCCTCCGGACACCTCCCCCAAGAGCCCCCGACCCCAGCCCCTTCCTGACACCACCCTCTCCCCACCCCGAGACA